ATCACACGAACTGAAGGAAACATTTGCAACTATATTAGGGTTCTTTTCATATAAATATTGCTTTTCTCGCTACAGTTAGTGAATTCGCTTTCGATTTGATTTCAATAATCAGTTAAAAATCAGTTCAATATTTAATTCCTTATTTAATATAATGTACGAAGAAGAGATGGATCTATTCCAAGTTCTTTTGAGTGTTCCGTATGTCCGCATAGACTTGATATACCCGGCTTGTGCCACAAGTTGTGCAGGAAATAATAATAACATTGTATATATACCTTACCGTAGCTTCACTTGATTTTTAAATTCAAATATTTCTTTGTTTACATAAAGAAATTTCTAATTCATTTCGTAATGCATAGTGATGCCAAGTTAAGAAATTTATTTGCTTTTAAATGATTATAATCCATGAGATGGGATAAGAAATACTTTTAAATGAGATAAGAAAAGGATTTTAACATTAATTGTCAATGAGAGTAGGAAACTCTGTTTGCTTAACGAAAAATTACATATTTTTCTAAAAAAAACGGATATATTCGACGTTAAAAAAGAAAAACTATTTTAAATATTTCTAAAATAATTCCTGACGATTTCTGCAAAGAAAAAATTAAAATTTTATATTGGAAGTGATTGAGAGAATCTTCAGATACGAGTAATTGAATTTGAACAGTGACCAATTGTGAGCATTGTCACGAGCAAAAAGTACATATCTCATATAAATTAATTTTAATAAAAGACTAATTTTATTTTACTTTTTTTTTTTATGGAACTAAGCTAGTACCTCAAGTCAATACGTGGACGGATGATTACAACTATAAATGGAGACTATTGTTGCTTTCGTTGTATTGTGCTATCAAATCGTGTATTGCTTTGTTTTAATTTTTATCTGTTTAAAGGTCTACAAGTTTTTGAAAGCCCTCTGGTTCGAAAGGCACAACATTTTTAAAATTCCATCGAAACAAAAGCAATTAACCTTGGAAAAATTTCCATAATAAATGAAAAATGATTTTAATTAATTAATAAAACTACTATATATGAAGAAATTTAAACAAATATTTCACTGTAAGTTCTTTAAGAATATCTAAGTGTGAAACTGCGGTCTTTGATTATCTATTATTAGATTAATTTAAATTCCAGAAGCTACCATATAGACGGCCACTTAGGAAACAAGCGACTTATCTTTCTAATGGTCTCTCAATTGCTCTACGTAATGAAGTAGTGAATATCTTTATACAAAGCCATAAAAAACAAAATAATAGATTTCATTAAAATCGCATTTTGAAATGCTTAGCTTTCTAAGGCCAAACGATTTGAAATCGTATGCTACAAAGCACCCCTTTGTGTATTTTCGTACTCATGAGACCAGCATTTTCTCCATTAAAAGCGATTTCCCAAAGAATACCATCGTTTGCATAAGCAAAATTACTCCTTAAGGTGGAAAGCGACTGTAACAACTTAGAAAAACACATTTTTTTCCTTTTTCGCCATTTGTTGAAACGGAAGAATAGAATAATAATATTGCGAAAGGCTGTTAAAAGCGTACTTGTAAGCATTTTTGCAAACAAAATTTGTTTTTAAAAAATATTAGCATATGGTAATACTGGAGGCATTCACGCGAGGTATGTTTAATTTAAAGAGCACCGTGGCTCACGCGAACTTAATTTCTTTAAAATAAGAAAATGCAAAGAAAACAAAAATGATACTATGTACAGTTAGCGAACCGCATAGGGAATATTAAAAATATCAATTTTTTTGTGATTCACGGTTATTTGGGAGAAAAAGTAAGTCAATACATTCTTAAGAAAAAAGTGTTTAAGTTATCGACACGATAGAAATCATAAAAGAAAACATTCTACAGGTTGCTCTAGAGACTATTGCTCTAAAAATGCTGTCAAAAACTCGAAAGGAGAGAACGAAAACTGTAAGAGTTGTCGCGTAAGCCGTTTCGAAAGATCGTGTTTTGAATTCTCTTAAAATTTTAGAACATGTTGTTGACATGTTTTCTTATTATAAATTTTGCATAATTTTTTTTCTTTTTTATATTACTTTGCGATCACAGAATCATAAAAATGGCCTTCTATGTTCAAATATTCGAAGGTGCCCGTTTTGCTGCATTCGTCGCAGTATTTATACTTTATGTGCTGTCAAATGGCGGAGAAAACGACAAGAAAATGTAAAATGTAATTTTAATAGCCGGCCGCAAAATCAACACTAAAAACTTTATACTACACTTTCAATTTTTTGGCAGCAGCCTTAGCTTTCAGCTTTCATATCTGCTAAATGGTCTTCCCGATGATGTTATGCTGATATATTTTAGTTGGAAAATTCCTGCCTTTCTAAAGACACCTATTACTGTATTAGGAATGGTCGAAATCAACCAAAAAACCCGTCCCCAAAAAACAGGCGAATAATTTGAGTTAACCGTTAAGGACGATACTCATGGCGACCACATTTCGATCGAACCAACCTTCAAATGAATGAACCGATTTCCGATTAATGATAATACTTTTGAAGCAATATAAACTAGATCGAAAGAGACAATCGTAGTTGCCGTTTCGCCGCGCCTACACCGTAGGTACGACATGTCCGACGCACATCTATAAAGAAATTATTAATACAATGACTATTTATTTTTTTTATTTTTTTTTTTGTTTTCAATGATTTTATTGTGTTATAGAAGAAAAAGAATTTTTTTTTTTTTTTTTATTAATTTAATATATAAATTCCATCTTGCGTATAATATAAGATTACACAAATGTATATGTATTTTATGTATATATGATAAATAATAATAAACGTGGTTTACATGTTTTGTAATTAAACAAAAATTGTACTAAAATGAAAGTAAAGTAAAAGTAAAATTATATATAAGTTAAAAACCTAAAAAGAAAAAAAAAATATGAAAAAAAAATAAAAATATGTTTAACATAAATTTATCCATATATTTACAAAATACAAAACAAAAGAAATGAAAAATAACCTCTAGAAATTATATAACAATTCATATTAACATTTTTGCAAATTAAAAAGAAAAAAAATGCACAAAAAAGAAAGTATTAACTAAATTTATAAGAGCGCCTTTTTTATTGTAATAAGATAAAGAGCAGAAGTTAAGGCGTTATTAGAGATATTATATGATTTAATGATGATTGTTGTTATATTATTAGTATTATTATCATTGTTGTTATCATTATTATTGATTATCATTGCAAAAAAATGTGTATCAAAGTGAAAAAAGAGGGAGAGTTAAGGCCTTTTATTTAATATGTATAATATATGTACGTTTGCATATGAAATATATGCATGGGATAGTAGCAAATATGTGCAAGAGTGTGCGTAGGTGTCCTCAAACACTTTTGCATAAAATTTATCAAAAATTGAGTTTAAGCTTAAGATTAATATCAAAATATCTCTTCATTGCTTATATCGCGGAAAAATCTTTCAAAATATATATGAGTTATTTGGGTACGTCGCTGTGTGTGTGTGTATATATATATATATATATATATATATATTTAATAAGGTATAAAAAAAGTTTTGCGCGTTTTCTTATCGTTTTGTCCTTCTGTTTTTTTTTTTTTTTTTGTTCCTTTTCAGGGTTAATAGTTTAGAAGAGACCTCTTTCTTTTTTTAAATTAGTTTGCTTCCAGACGGGCATTTGCTCGAACTCGGCACGCGATAGTCCTAAAGCCTTTTGAAAATCTTCATTATTTAAATATACTTCTAAACGTGTAGGGTCTACACCTTCCGGCAGAGGACGCTCTTTTAATACCTCCCACGGATATTCTGTCTGCGTAAGCTGTGTCAGTACCTCAGTAATGGGAATGGGCTTATTGGAACGCCCATCCTAAAGAGGAAAAAATGAATAAATAAATTTCGCTACGTTTGCTTGACAACGGGATAAATCCAATTTTTACTTGTAAATTAATCTCTCTGACATCTTCTCTCTCGGACCAATCAGGGAATAAAGCTTTAAATGCTGCGGACTCCAAACCAGCCCATACCACGTAACCCTGAATGCCGTGAAATTTCTTTTCAATGCTGTCTCCTGAATAAATTAAAAAAAAAAAAGAACAAAAGTAAATGTAGTTAAAAAAATTGTAGTAAAATTTTCATATACGCTTACCAAACTTGGCTCTCCAATATGAAACCGACGTTTCTAAAGCAGCTCTGCGCTCCGAAATCCATCGATTAACTCCCGCACGGTTGTCATTCGTAGGGCTGCCGCGTTCTTCAGCGGTAACTAGTGAACGAAACGTTGCATTTACATAACAGAAATCTAGTGAAAAGTCATTCAAATTACTTTTGACATCCTCCAGAGGCCACCAACCCATCCACAACCATAACACGTCACCGTCATCGAGCATAAATATGGTCGGTTGCCGAGCACTATATAGCTGAGTTTGTGTAAACGGATACGGCGTCAGCAGATCTTTACATCTCAGGGGTGATAGCAATTCGTTGGCGTTAAATATACCTTGAGTACTGGAGTAATGAAATAAGCGTGGAGTGTAGAAAAAGTCTTTAGGTTTTTTATCCCAAAGACTACCATAGACCTCAGATGCGTTTGTTAGATAGTCTAAATCTAAAACTTTTTTAAATTCCCGCGGTTCGTGCATTTCCTCGATAATATCGACTGTGATTGTGCTGGCGCTGAACAAATCGTATGGTTTGCTCAGACGAAGTTTTTCGGCAGTCTTTTCGGCTACTTCACGAGTATGTTTAGCACTTTGGCAACCGTGCCAAATATAAATTTCACCTTTTTCACCATTTATTAAGAGCATTGAAGCTCTAGAACGCAACTGCTGTGCTTGACAACGGACCTCCTTGCATAAGGCCTCTTCCGGCACATTACCATGCACCAGATATAAACGCCATTCTTTCTGTTTACGTAAGCAGTCCTCTTTGCGGCCTTTGTGTAGCCACATAGTGTCAAAGAGACGTATAAAAGCCGTACTTTCATCACCTTGAGCTACGCGCATCTGTGCTCCTTTTTCCTTATCAAGTTCTACGGTTAGTAAGGCAGCTGCGCCTTTTTCATTGGCGGAAGCTTCACTGCCTTGCCAGGTGAAGTAAACGCAGCGTTCACGTCCCACCGTAGCGCGATTGGAAATTCGTCCACTTAGTTCCCTAACTGATACCGAGATCTGATACATCCAACGTACTATATAGCTTTCATTGGTGTAGAAGTGCCCATAGCTATCCTTTTTAGCCTTATCGAAATTGTATTCATTAATTTGCCATTTATCGATGGACTTGGTAATAATGTCAAAGTGACGCATGCTATCGTTATCGTAGTAGAAATTGCCACGTCCCAAGTTAGACTGTTCCAATATTAAGTTCGGTTCTACATATGGTGCACCTTTGAATAAATTAGCTCCGTCTAAAGGTTTTACCGCATGAACACCATTTACCAAATAATCTTTTTCCAAGTCTTCCCGTTCGATTTCAGGCCAATCAGAAAATTTCTCTTTAAACAAACACGTTTCCATGTTCTGGGTAATCTTACCCAAAATACACCAATCGCCACGCCTATTGCTGCATTTAAGGAAATTATAATTATCTCGCAAGCCTACAATTGTTGAATAATTCATCGGATTGAGGTAGCACTTTGTATAGTCAACGCCACCTTCATCAAAATGCTCCTGAGCTAATTTGATGGCCGCTCTCTTGGCATCCGAGGATGCATTTTTACCATTCCATACGTATAATTCGGAGCCGAAATCGAATATTAATACCTTACGCGAGTCAAGCATATCCACCTTGGGAATAGAACCCCAGTAACGTTCATATGGCACGAGAGCATCATCTTGAAACTCATAAACTTTATTCGTCTCTATCAAGCTAATTTCGAATAAGTCATCTTCGTCGGCATGGCCACTGTCGGGAATTTGGTAGTCTTCTGGTTTATTCAGTAACTCCCAGAATTTCTTCCAATGATTTTCATTTAAAAATTTACCATCGGTGAGTATAACCTCCGCAGTTGCAGCGCAACCAAGATCCTTATTCTCTAATATATAAGCGCAAATCTTTTTACTGCGTGAGATTTCAATTATATTCGCATAAGAGCCCACATAACGATACAGTAACGTATCGGTGACTAAAATGAAACAATCGCCTCTGTTTAACGACTGGTAAGACGGTTCAACTAGGCGTGTCTGCACATGAGTGCGACCTTTGATGTGCAACAACATAAGAGGCTTATATGGCAGCCACATCTGATTCAATGGTAATGTCGAAGATTTTAATGCTACCGATTTGAAATCTTCAACTGAAGCTAAGCCAGCTAACGCTTCGGCTGCCAATGAACAACGTACGCCATCTAAAATATTAAAAGTAAGGCAATACGTAAGAAACGAAATTAGTAAGCATTTTCATCGTGTACCCCTACTTACATGATTCAACTTTAATTCTCCTCATCTCTCTTTCTACTATGCCCATCTTCATTTCAGTGTATTCTGTAGCAATATCTTGACGGTTGGCTAGACTTTTTAAAGGGTTACGTGCAGCCCTTCGACCTCTTGGTAATTGTATGTTACGTTTGTTAATTGCCAACCGTGCGGTCGGTTTAATTTTATCAAAATCGGTTACATCGATGCTCATCTCTTGCTTGGAGGCTATCGATTTCTTTGATGCAAAGAAATTCTCAAATGTCTCCTCATCGTCGATTTTAGGCACAACTACACGACCTCCATTATTAGGACTAGCATCGATACCATTACTTTTCTCTGATTCTCTGATAAATTCGCGTTCATTATCCGAATCCGAATTATTTGCCGAATTTATTTCCATTACGCTTGACGTCTCCATACTTAGACTACGTTGTACAAATAAAGCACCGTTACTGGCGTTACGTTGGCACCCGTTGCCGTTTACCATCATCGAAGGACTTTTCGCCAAACCCAACAATGGCTGATTAGCACTGCGTATTGTTAATAAGGGACATTTTTTGGGTGATCCATTATGGTCACGTTCAAATTGTAATTCTACGGGGGATTGTGCTTTCTTTTGCAGCCGTCCGGCGACTGTAAATTTCGAAGCATCCGATTGTTCTGCAATGAAATGCAATTTTATTCTCACGAGTTAAATTCTGCAACGATACATATAAGTGTAAAATAGTCCCATAATTACCGACGCGAGTTTTCCAATTTTCTGAGGATGATTTCAATTGTCCCACGCGATCCGAAACTTTACCACCCTCTAGATTGGTCGCTATTAGCGGTGAGGTAGGCAAAGGTTTATTAGAAAGATTGTGCGCCAGAGACAGAGATTCCTAGAGATAAATAAGCGAAATAGGGATTTTTTTCATTAATAACTAAAAATGTTTACGCTTTCACAATTTAGTATAAAGTGCGAACATATTGTATGTGTAATAGAGAAGGTCGCACAACGCTTAAGACGTTTGATTCGTTATGTTACGAATTCAGTCTAGATTTAGATCATTAGATCATTGCAGCAATATCAGAATTAAATCGCCCATGTACCTGCTCCATGATTGCTAACAAACTCTTCGCGGATTCTTTAATTCCTTATTATCCTACCCTACACCATCTGCGGTACAAGGTTTATTAAGTTTGTACGAACATATTTAACAGCTACAAGGATTGGAAGATAAACCCACCTTTTATTATACCGATCGATTCATAATTACTTTCTGAACCAATTTCAGTTAAGTACAGGTCGCAATTTTCGAGACACTTTGACCAAATTTGGTACAAAGTTGTGTTCTGTCCCAAGGTCGGATGCTTTTAAACATAATTCGGACCGCTTAATAATAATATTTCGGCATCGGACGGCGCAATTTTTTGAACTCTTTTTTATATAATCGTTTCTACGGAAACTGGAGATTTATTGTACATGGTAAAAGCGGTCTAATTTTCAATACTTCTTGATGAAAACTCATTCGCAATAATAATTTGCCAAAAGAATTAAACTTACCGAATTTGAACCACATAGGTCTATCTTTTCGGGTCCCCAACCTATACGCGGCTTGTAATGCAAAATAAGGCTTGGTATGGCAAAAAGGTTTGAAAATTGGTCCCTAATTAATTAACCATAGGGAATTTGGAACATATAAATCTATTTTTCAAACCGTACTATATATAGAGGTTCTGAGGAGAGCAAGTGTCTCTACGGCGACAAAGTCTTATTTGTGTTTCTACTTGCTTTTGAAACAAATAGTTTTTTAGAAGGCTTTGGCAGCCTCTGTTTCCGTTATAAATTTTTCGATTGGAAAAGTTATTTGAAAATTGCCTTAAGGTATTAGGCTAGTTGTAATATATTAATTTCTGAACTATTCTTTGCTATAACATCAAAGCAAGTCTTAAGCGATCTGTTTCCCACTTCTTCACATCTAACTCGTTAAGATTTGATTATAGTAAGGAACTTTGTTTAATATCCTTGATGTTAATTTAATCTCTTCTCACGTGTACTGTTTTCAGTACACGCCATGCGAACTTTAATTGTTTAATCTAAGATATTAAAATTTACAAATTGGTTGTCATTATCATCACTATTTTATGCGATGCACCTGCGATTTATCACGTTAGCGAATATTATACGGATTTTCCCTAATAAAGATATCAAAGAAAACGTATCAATCCAAATTTATTAAATTGTATTGAAAACGGTATGTGCATTCCGTAACGTTCATCTATTCGTGAATAATAGTTGACAGAGAGCCTATTAATTAGATTCAGCAGAAGTTGAAGGATCCTTAAAATAGTTTCTACTGTATGACTTAATCGATATGGAATTTAATTTAAATTTTATTTGATTTTTTTTAAGACGTTTATCATGAATAACGTCACTTCTGTGCTATTAGCTCGAGATATTATTATCAAGATTTCTAATCATTCGCCAGCTATATTTGGTTATAGAGAATATATTAAAAAAATTGGTCATTTTAAGGAAAGAAAAAAAATAAAAATAAATGATAATAATAAATAATTACTAAAATACTTGATTGTGAAATAAAAACTTATATGGGAATATAATCAAATTTAATTGAGTTCAAGAAGCTTGGCAATCAATTACAGATTGAAATAATGGTTTGGCAAACACATATTAAGCTAGAGATGCAGTGATTTTTCTTTCCCTTTCTTTGTTTGTTTGTTTTTATTTTTTTTATTTTTAATTTAAACTCGGCATTATAAATAATTTTTGGTTTTTGCAAGTCTTGTCAAAAGGCATGAAGAAACGACCCAATGCTCTTTTACGAAATTCTTCAATTCTTCTCCAATAGATCTACGGCGATCTCTGCCAGCTAGAAAGACTGCTTCCCTCGAGTTTAGGATACCATGACACTACACAAATAATTGCTATATGTTAAGCTTACCTATATGTAATTTCGAAGGGAAATTCAACTTATTTATAATCCCTAGGTTTTAAAAAATTAAGTGGTCGAGAAAGCGGTCCTATCTGAACCATTTTCAATAGCATTCGTCCTTGGGTCAAAACACGTCAGTATATCGCATTTTATCAAAACATTTGAAAAAAGTGCGAAAAGTGCGAGTTGTACATACCAAAAATCAGACAGACAAACTGGCAGACGGATAGACAAGCTTAGCTCGATTTAGGAAATGTTTCAGAAAAAATGATTCTAAACTGATAAAAGGTGAGCGTAAACGAAATCGTTCCCGGTATTGGATACATCCACAAAAACTTAATGCAGCCTTGTATGGTGCAAGTGGTGTGGGGTATAAATTTCTGCCCTTATTTAGTGTCATTGGTTGCAATTTTTGTCTGAAATTATGCATAAACGCAATGCTGTTAGTAATAATTACCATTTTATCGCTATAACTGCAGCTCACAGTGCACAAGTTTTGCTTTTCCTTTTTTTTAATTTGAAACGAATATATTTTTATTTTATTTTTCGTATTTGAAAGCACAACACACCCCACAATTTTTTATTTATTTATTTTTTTTTTTTAGATTTTTTTTCCACAAATAGTTATTGAATAGATTTTTATTTGTTTTTTAAGTATCATGAACTTAATTAAAATTTTTAAGCTTTAAATGCAAATTGAAAAAATGTCAAAAAAAAAAAAAAAAAATTAAAAAAAAAATAGCAATAATAAGAAATGAAAAAAAAAAAAAACACATGCTTTACAGCTTCATAGGCGGCTTGATTGACAAGCAATTCCCTTAAACAGTATTTGTAAACTGAGTAAAATAAATGTAATTGGTGTACGTTGCAGTTAATTGTAAAAATTGTCTAATTAAATGCAAAAAAAAGAAAAAAGAAAAAAACCTACAAAAAACAGAAACAATTGTTTTTGAGTTTTAAAGCATATTAGAGTGTTAGCGAAATGAGCTCTAATTCTATATATTAAGCGATTTTGTTATCGTAATCGTTTACCAGAGTTGGATGGTAGTATATCAGAGCAGCGATAAGATAACTGGCCCCAATTCAATAATATTACAACAAAAATTTTAGGATGGCTTGTCTCCACCTCTCTTGCATCGCCACCACAACTACTCGATTCGATTAGATAAAAAAATTAAAATCTTTTCTTTATCGCGGCCGAGTTCGCCAATTACTCTTTAGTTATGTTCAATGTGTCTGCCGACTGAATTCTCTCTCAATCGATCCTTTGCGTTCTCCGTTTGCAAAATGAATATTAGAACTTAGGCGCAGAATGCAAAACACTTCAAATTCAAATAAATTAATCTACGCAAGCATATAGCTTACGCTAATCGATTCAAGTGAATGCATTAGCCATTAAGAATATCTGTAGAAATCTCCGCTTTGTACTTTGTACATTTCCTCCCGCATTACTTGCGCCGAATTTCAAATACCTTTCCATGTTTCTAGACGGACAAGATGGTGAAAGGCTAATCACCAATCACTATTTAGATTGAACTAAGTTGGAATTTGACAGCAGTCTTCTTTACTCTTTATCCCTAAATTTGTAATGATGATTGCGTGCTGAATCTTTTCGAGAGTGCCTTACTCTTCTGTACTTAACCCTACACTCTTCCTATTTGTTTGTTTCTTTTGTTCTGAACAAACCCCTTAAGAGCTGAAACCATTACGTCTAGTAAGAATCTACGAAAGGAAAGATATGAAGAAGAAGACAAAAAAATTATAAAAGCTTTTATTGAAGGTATCTTTCAACGGACTTTTTGCTTTTTGAATCGGCCTTTTGTAAGCTATCAATATTAGACATTAACGTGAAGGAGCAGATGCAACTTTCTCTACGTTCTTTAAGACTATATATAGAGAGCACAAATATCACAAGGCGATCTCATAAGAAACAAACAATAAGTGGGAAGGTCTACGGGAAAATGTTAAGGTAGGAAAGATCTGATTGCAATAGCGAATGATGAGAAAGTTCCGATGTGATGCCGAAATCACTATTAATGTATATATTAGATGGAATCATAGCTAGATAGAATCTACTCTTCGTATTTACCGAATACAAGTCAACGAAACAAACCAATTTTTGTTTTCAGCGTATAGACGAGAATTCAGTCAGTTTTTGTTTATATGGTACATGTTCAACTGATTTTCTGAAGCTCTGGGGATTTAAACAAGGCAATAGACCTAAGGCGTTTGCTGAAAAAATATGCAGCGTATACGGTGAAGGACCGACAACTAATCGGGCAGTTAGAAATTGATTTGTGAAATTCCTTTGTGGAGGTACGACCTTAAAAGACGGCTCATCCTTACGACTTTGACTATCACCTTTTAAAGGCAGTATGGGTGGAAAATCCACGTCAATCCACAAGTGATTTAGCAAAAAGGTTGAATATCTTACAATCAACTGTTAAATTTATATCATTTTGTGATTCAATGAAAACAAAACAAACGTTTGATGAAAAAAACAGAAGTGACTTATGATTTGACCCAATATAAATATTCATCGAAAAGAAATTTATAAAATAACATTGTTTTTGTACCCACCACTATAAGATGGAGTTTTTTCTTTTCATAACAAATGTAATGGTCAAAGGCAAGCTTCAAAGAGTTAGTGCTTAGTCGATTGGGCTCACCACCTCCCTATCTCGTTCTCTTTCCTCGCCTCTTCACGAACCTCGACGTATCACACGAATAGGGGACATCGCCTCAGCAACTGGTCAAGTAACAAAAAAAAAAAAATCAAAATCGCGTCCGTTATTTAATTGCTAGACTGTATCATTGTTACTTGTTAATCTTGCCAATGTTTGGAATTTTGAAACAAACACCAAAAAAAATTTCACTTATTTTAATCTATAAAATTTGATGTAGAATTTCACAATTTCTAAACACCGTCCACATAGAGCAAGTTC